TTTTTGCAGTGCAGGTCGATCGAGAATTTTACGTTTGTGTGAGGTCCGTGTGTGCATAGATTTGCTAGGGGATAAATGAATTGTAGTAGGCTGTTGACATGTCACCTGAGGGGCGATGCATGCCACTGTCAGGGTCCTCAGCATATCCAGTCGGTTTTCACAACCCCAGCCAATCAGCTCCCAGGATTAGCCGACTTTTTCAACTCTCTTGGCTCCATACGTCAAATGTCAAAAAAAAACCTAGTTGTTTCCCTCTGGAAGTAAAATAGAGAGGAACTGTTGTATTTTCCATCATTATGTCGTAAATTATACACTGGGGACTAATTCCCGCCTCTGACACTAGGCGCCTTTGTAAACTCTTCCCAGTGGAAGCATTGCCGACCCATGATAAGGATAATACTTTCCATCGACGCACGGAGAGAGCAACATCCGCTTACCACTGCTGAGTTTCACTTTTTGAAAGATAGATTACAGGACCGTATTTACGGTCCAATGAGATATTGGGATCAAGAGGGAAACACTTTTATCCCGTAACTGATATTCAGATCACAAGAAGGAGTAAAAGATCCTAGGTTTTTCTCGGGCACGAGTTAATAAGTGAAAAATAAACTTAAAAGCGGTCCACGTCAACATTCACATGCACAGTAAGCTGGCATAAAGTTTGCTAAAGGGTTGTGATTATACAATATCTCATTCCGGAAAGGAAATAAGTCTCACACTTAGTTGTGAAAGATCATTAACTCAATACCCATCAGTAGTTAGCTGCTCAGCTCAGTGTCCCAGCTGGTCAAGGGTAACAAAACTAGATCAAAATTGGACTAACTGAGATCCTTCGGAATCGACTAACGTCCTTTGTGTAGGTGCGCAGCAAAACTATGACATGGTCTAATAGGGACAAAACAAAAGTTACCATAGGGACCCATCCAACTGCATGATGTGGACATTTTGTGGACTATGCAACTGGCCGACAAAAATACCGAAAACATTTGATCTCCAACCCAGGTGATGAACGGTGCTAAATGCAATAAGGTGAAGGTCAGCCACTGCAGGCAGAACAACGGAGAAGTGGACTTGGATGTCTGATAGCCAGCAAGTATGAAGAAAGTTCAGGAAATGCCCAACATGCGACTCACAGAGCCAAGCTTGTCGGAGAAAGTGGGAGAATAATGTACAGTGAAGATTGCCTGCCTGAAAAGACTGAGACAAATTTCTTGGTTTGACAAAATCGGCGGTGTGATTTCATCCATGGTTGGACGGGAGAATTCGGCTTTCACCGGAGTACCTGGCAAGTACACTCATCCAAGATCAAGTTAGTGCCGTTGTATTTTCTATTTGCTCACTTCACACCGGCTGCTGATTCCGTGAAAACAGAAGCGTTGTGAAATTTCGGCTGTCCAGACAAATTCATCAGCCGTACCGGATCTGTTTAGTGTGGAGTGAGTGCGAAAGTTCGAGCCTGTAAGAACACGTCTGTGAATTACACTGTTGCCGAGTGAATGACGAGTGTATCATCTTGCTAACTTCGCTCGGCTTGTATCTAAACATTTTTCAAATTGAGGTGACTCCGAATCATAGAAACTTATCACATCATCAGTTGTAATATATTTCGATAAGAGGCTAAAAGTATCTCCATAAGGTTTCTTTGGAGTACTGGGAATAAAAATGAAGATGCCTCTATGCCACAGTATGGTGAACGAAGATGTAACTACACATAATCCCACAAAGTCCCTTTGTGTCTTTCCCGAATCCTATCCGCCCAAATGATGGTTATTCATTTATACGTTGGGTGCACGCGAAATTCGCATCTACAGCTCATGACTGGGGACTACACCGGTCAGTCTGTCAGTTGGTAAGCGCCGATCATTTCCTGGCTAGTTAGGCCCAATAATTGGTGTAAAAATGGTAGGCGTCGGGAACAGTACCTGCACGACCAGGCCTTGTCTGAAGCAGCAACGGGCAAACAGTGAGATGGATGGAATCAGTAGCTTTGGTCACTTCTCTGCTGTCTCACGAAAAACAAGCCATACTAGACAAAGTGTTAGTAGTGAACTGCGGAGGGGTCGTTCAACAAGCCCATAGAGGAGTCATTTTAATTATTGCCATCAGGCTCCTATCTAGATACCTTCCAATTAGCAATGTAACGGGTGTGTTCATTGGTTGTTGGTCGGGTGTTTGTTGACCTGTTCACCGAGCTTGGCAAATACGTTTCATCACCAAAAGAGGAAACATCATCAGTGCGCGGTTGTGTGGATGCTCCCTACCTGTCTTGCCAATAGCCGATAACGTCAAAGGATAATAGTCACTCGGCAAAACCAGGTAATAAGGAAGCACCCACCCAACCGTGCACCGACGATATGCCCGCTTTTGGTGACGGAACTTTTACAAATTATTCAGCAAGCTCGGGAACATATCAACATCCACCTTACCAACAACCAAAATCTGACTGACGCAGAGACACGTGCCCATGATTTTGAGTCACATTAAACTGAAATCTATAGCTGTAATATTCGTGGGGGGTGCTTCGATTTCAAAAGATAGTATAGCTGAGCATTACTACTTGTATGGTCACCAAATCTACTCAAAAGAATGTGACATGATTCGAGGGCATATATTCTGCTTTTTCTGAAAACTGTGCTTTACGGGCACATTATAGAACGAAACCGCTAAGGTTAACTACCACGTAGCTTCTGCTGTGCCTTGTTTAGAGCCAGATACAAACATTGTAAAACTCTCGCTTCCTATCAACCCGTTCCTCGTAAAAATACCGAAATTTACCCGATATACGAGGGATAGCATCGCTGTGTATGAAACAGCCACCATCTGTGGCCGAGCACAAAACCACACTGTCGTATTTTCTATACTCCTATATGATTGCGAATCTGGATTGTATTCCGTCAGAATCCTCAACCGATTCCCCTTGTAGAGATCGCGGAAGATGCTGCATGCACGCTCATTAAAACGGGTCCCGAATGTCTAAGTTCTTCAGGAAGCCAACCCAAGTGAACTGCACATCTAGCTCCTCTGGTTACACAGCTTCAAACCCGTGTAGCCGGACTCCATTCGCGAAACCGTGTTGTATAAGAGTTACTGTGGGTCTTTGAGCCGAAAAAGAATATAATCAAGTTGCGGGAAAAGATTTCGGACAATTTTTAAAGGTGTTAACTTTTTACTCTACACCATGAAAAGATCTGGCTCTAAAAAGAGGTGCCAGGCAAAAATCTGTACGGGCAGACATCGTGCATTTCAGGACTCGGAGTGTCTCGATACTGAATACCACCGATCCACTCGTAAGCGACTCGCACAAAAAAAACGGTCCAACATTGGTAGCTTTGTAGGGCTGTGCGCCACCTACCTGAGTAGCTCAGCAGTATGTTCAGCATCGCGCAAGCCGTCTGCTGTCATAGCCGGTGGTTCAACCAGTGCTGACGGGAAATCTCATATCGGATGCTGCCAGCCAGTCACGGATCTGTTTCTGAGTAAATGGTGTCTTCTCTTTGGCTGACAAGCGTGCCCTTTTTATTCAGACAGAAATTGGTTGTTGTTCTTGCTGTGAAAACCCGGTGGAGATACATGTTTTCTTGCTAAAACAGGTCTGAGCAATAGATAAAACAAGCGTGCCCTTTTTATTCAGACAGAAAGTGGTTGTTGTTCTTGCCGTGAAAACCTGGTGGAGATACATGTTTTCTTGCTAAAAACAGGTCTGAGAAATAGATCACCTAAAACACGATGCTTTATGTGCACTATACTGTAGTGTACTATCGTAATCGAAATTTATGGTGCGGAAATTATCATCGACTATTCCTCCAAGGTGCTTTTTCAGATTAGATCCCCACAAATGGAGTTCTTTACGAGGTCGAATTAATCATATGGTGAAGGGCAACCCATCTAACTCAACTAAAGAGAGTTAGGTTTCCCTTGATCCATTCGACAAACATTGCTAGAGAGTATAAGTGCTGAGAAATTAAGATTCGATGCTTTTCGTTGGTCAATGATGTAAGGCATACATTTATGTTTGGGTGGCATGAGAACAACACTGAACGGATATGGTAGGCACGCAACAAAAAGCTAGTACCTGCTGGCAGTTGCCCCTTATTTACCAATCGGTCGTGATGTCAAAACAAGAAAGGCAGCTGAACACGTCACTTCGTAAACCACCGCGTCTACATTTATTTGTTTCATTTAGAGATGATCCTCGTTCACCAGTCTGACAGCCAAGTTCAACACGGTCTTGATATACAAATGGTAATACTTGCCACCTCTTGAACGAATGTGTTTATTATGGTTTTATTACTATCCATAGTACGAAATTCGGACAACGGAAGCGTTCATGCACCACAGACCAATCCTGGTAGGCTAATCGATCACACAGTGGTTAATTACCACCGCAGAGCTTCCGTTCAAGAGTGTGAATCATACGGGAGTACTTGTGTACATTGTGACCACACTTTTGTGTGAGACGGTGTTTATGTGCTTCCGTGACCGACGGAAGTTGAGCGGCTCTGAAGCAGTGATAATCGAGTGCGACCTCGATGGTCCGTACTACCTAAGCTCTAGATAAACTCATGTTATGACGGAAAACATTCAAGTAAATACGGGTGACATATTTTTAAAGAGCTTCATAAAAGCACCGCACGGAAGTTTGAGAATAACTGGTACGTCTACCTCTCGGTTGTACGTATTTTCAAAGACAAATATACAGGGTTGTCCACAAATCCACTTTCTTAACATGAGTGCCTCATTGTGTCGTGCGATTACGCACTGCTTGAAAAACAAACTGTTAGAATTTATGTATACATACTCTTCGTGTTACGTCCGAGTTCATTGGATTTGTTCAAAATCTTAACGTCAACGCTAGACGAACGCACTTTTTAGGCATTTCATCTTTTGCCGGTGTACCGTTTTCCGAAACAGCTTTTAAGAGTTGTAGTCGGTTGTCGAATTCGTAGAATATGCGCTCATATCACTCTCGACTGAACAATCGTCCTGCCATACTGTTCCAATCATCCTGGTGAGTTCACATCTGGAGGGGGGAAGCAATGGACTCGAGTTTTGCTCTTATTAGAGCTCAACAGCAGCGTACATCCAATAGTCGTGCTGGGGTTTGAACTCGAGGCATCTGACATGCGAGGCAAGCGTGTTACCATTAATACACCAGCGCACGCTGTACGCAGCTGATTTTCACGTCTCAACGGGCGAAAATGCTCAACCTTGAGCGAGAAAACTCGAAAATACCATTTTATTCCACGGTTCCATCCACAGACAAGGAGATGGGACAGCCATATCTTTCCGGTCAGCTTTTCATAGGTAGACTGAACATGGTATTTTGAAACCAGTAGCCAGACGATTATTATTTTATCGAGACTACGTCGCTGACATTCTTACTATCCATTATTATCACACCAAAAGTAAGACGATTCTAAAAACTGTTAATCCGTACGCTACATTCGGCAGTTCGCTTCACCGTGAAGCTAAAGGTCCACAACACCTTTCAGGTTTCCCATGTGAAGTTAAGAGACAAAATGGAATGCCTCAGTATCGGAGT